ATAAGGTTAAAATATTAATTTACTCTCTTAACTTTTAAATTTTTATTAAAATTAGTTTTTAATTTTAAATAATACTAAAATTATTCATAAATTTTAATTTTTATATTAAAATAGATCTTGAATTCTAAAGATAAGTATTAATTTAGTCCTTAAATTTTATTATAGATATCAATTTAATCTTTCAACTTTAATTACATATTAATTTGATATATAAATAAAAATATATTACGGTAATAAAATATAATTATATAGTTTTATACGTTATTAATATTTTTAAAAAGAACTCATTTTATGACAAGATAACAAATCACATGACATTTTTATTAACAAAAGAATTATTTTGACATCGTAAATTAAAATTTAGAAATAATTTTAATATTTTTGAAGTTGAAGGATATTTTTAGTACAAATCTAAAAGTTAAAGAACTAAATCAATATCTTAACTTTTATAAAATAATATGTTTAGTTTAAAGAAAAATTTGCCTATCTAAATAGCGAAGAATTAGAGGGGAGTAGAGGGATAGGAGAAAAATGAAGGGATTTTATTTTCTTTTAATTTTCCTCTTTTTTAGTTCATTCAAACCAAATAGCGACCAAGAGTTTATTTAATGGATCTATAAGTTCTATTTGAATAAAATTTTTATAGAAAGAGTTTTTTATTTTATAATCTAAATTACACTAAATTATAAAATAGAATCAATAGATGTGGTAGGACCTTGATATCAAGAGACCTACCCTTCATTTAAAAATTTTTATTTTACAATTTAATATAATTTAGATTATATAGTAATTTTTCCTTATAAAAATGTTAAAATCCTTTTTCTTTTTTTTTGTTTTTTAAAAATGTTAAAATCTTGAATTCTTATAAAAACAATCTAACTAAAATTAAGAAGATCAGGTCGGAGTTAAGATTGTTTGTCTAGAATTAAATTATTAGAGGTGCAACACAAATTTGAAGCAGCTAATAGTACATTGCAGAAATTAAGCTAAGAATCAACATGAACCAAAAGTACTGCAACTAATCTCTCTACAAAGTAAAAATGAAAATTTTACAATGGACAGAAAAAAGGACGCAAGGAAAGGACTTAGCTTTTCAGAGTCAGTCTGTACTCCTGAACGTGCTAATCGGGTGGTCAAGTCTTTCTCAAATACTTGAAGCAATTGGCAGGAAGAAATGAAGCCAAGAGCTAAATCTGAAAAAAGTAAAAGATTATGAGAATGATTGCTTTAAAATGAAATGAAAGACAAATTTCCAGTTAACGTAATTCATTGTTATCATTATAAGAAACGGAGATATGGAGGCTCATTGGACAGTTGGTTAAATATAAGAAATCAGTCAATGAATTCAAAAGCAAGAAGAGCAAAATGGTAAGATGCAAGAAATGCAATCATAAAATGAAAAAGAAGAATTACCATTATATGTCCTCTCTTCCCCATGTCATCATCACCTTGGACCAGATAAAATAGATGAAATCCAAGCAGCTGTATCCGTTGGGTGTCCGATGGTTCCTACTTCAGCCAGAACTGGTGCATTTGAGAAATCACACTCATTTTCACCATCCATTTTGCCCTCTAGGAACTTCACCACAATGGACATTGAAGGTCTCTTAGCATATTCATTTTGCAAACACCATGCTGCAACTTTCATCATCTCCATTACCTCTGCTGCATTTGATTGCATCTCCTCATTGTACTTATCCATTAGATCCAGAAGTTCACCATCCTCAGCCTTTCTCTTAAAAACACTAACCAAATGGCCATCCTCTTCCGGCAGGGATCGATCAACATTTTTTCTGCCACATAAAATTTCCAGAACAACAATACCAAAGCTATATACATCTACCTTTTCTGTGATTACCGAGTTCAACCACTCAGGGGCCATGTATCCTGGTGTTCCCCTCATTGTTGTCACAACTTGGCTTTGCTCTCTTCCTACTAGCTTAGACAACCCAAAATCAGAAACCTTGGCATTGAAATTCTCATCCAAAAGGATGTTTTGGGGTTTGATATCGAAGTGAATTACTTTCTGCCTGCATCCTTCATGAAGATATGCTAGACCCTTGGCTATGTCTAGAATGATCTTCCTTCTGCACCGCCAACCAAGAGAAAGCCTTTTGTCACTGCAGAAGATCCACTGATCCAATGACCCATTACACATGTACTCATAAACCAAAAGCATGCGGAATTTCTCAGCACAAAATCCAACTAACCGTACCAAGTTGAAATGGTGAATGCTTCCTATGGTCTCAACTTCAGTTATAAATGACTTCTTTACAAAACCAAAACCGTCAAGGTACTTCACAGCAACTTGAGCACCACCAGGTAATTTTCCTTGAAAAACACAACCAAATCCTCCCTCACCAAGCTTGCTGTTAAAGTTGTTAGTTACACCCTTTAATTCTTCATAAGAGAATCTTGAGGGTGCTCCTGATATGTGGCCCATATAATCCTCCTCAACATCCTTCCGATCCTTTTTAATTTCTAGGAAAGACAGGATGCAGATAATAAGAAGCACAATAAAACAGGCTCCAAGAATGGATCCAAGTATAACTCCAACATTCTGTCTCCTCCCTTTTTTAGGTGAAACTGGCAATGGATGAATCTGTGCACTTGGAAAACTTTGCACCTTTAAAAAGAGAGATTGATTGTGAGATGTATCCACCCTCTTGAACGACAAAACTTCAGATCTAAAAAGGCACTGGCCAAGTGATGAGAAATTACTATCATGTTCATGTATAAAAAGAGCGTACTTGCAAGAACAGTTCTTTAAACAGCCTTGCTTGCAGCTCTCTTTGCTTGTCCTATGATAATTACCTCGCATCAAATCGGTGAGAGAAAAATCAACATCCTTGACTTCAAGAAGACTTTGGTTAGGAGACTCACAAGATATTGGATTATATGGAGAACACGTAAAATTTTGCTGTGAAGAATTTATCTGCCTGAAATACGTATATGTAACTCTGTTTTTATCTGCTTCTGGGCAGCTGCAGGATCCTCCCGATGAACAAATTCCATATTTTCCGCACACCAACGGGTAACTACATGAATCAAGGCCCTCAAACAAATCATAGGCTTTCTCCCACTCTGATGTTGTTTGCCAGGAGGCACTTAAGTGCCCATCAGAGTCTAATTGTATAACACTAAATCGTGTGGTACCATCTCGAGATCTTGGAAAGGCAACAGCACCAAAACCAGTGTCGTTGAATTCAGCAGTAAACTGGCCTGTTTGGTTTGTTAATAGACAATCAGAGGATCGATAATAGAGCTGGGTATCATCTGATTCCACATAAGCAACAAAACAACCATGATTATCAATTGAAAATGAATATAAACCCTCACTCCAATTTGTGGCAGACATACTTGCCACTAATTTCTGCCCAGAAACCAGTTTTTGTCCGACAACCAAAGAGTCAGTCGGGTGATCAAAAGACTGCCAAACCGTTGTCTTGTTTCCATCAAACAACTTAAGGTTACCTTTATCAGTTAACTTCAAACCCAAAACAGATTTAACTGATGTGTTTGTAGACCAAACCAGAGTGTCATCACCATCTTGCAGTGTTAGACCCCCTTGCTGGGAAAGTTGCAATTTTGCCCCACGTCCTACCGGATTGTTCCGATTAGCAGACCATACCATTTTTGAAATTGGATATGAGCTGCCTCCAGAAATGAAGATGGAGATAGCAAAGAGACAGGTGTTGTTTTCTTCAACTTTGCAGTGGAAGCCACAAACAAAATGCCCCTTGAC